ATTCCAAACACAAATTCGTATTATGTTTATCAATTGATTGGCATTATGCAGAAGGCAACCATCCCAAAAAATCTGTTTGGAAGTAATATGATGTTTTACAAAAATAAATTATTGAAAACGATTTTACAACTGAAATTCCCTATAGGCTATAACTAATTTGTAATATTACCATGATGCAATAATTTACTAGGTAATATTTGTATAGTATAATGTATAATAAAGTATATTCATTATGATATTAATTATGTTGATTGGTATTTTTTGATAAATGTAGTATGGTTGCTCTTAATTTTTGAAACACAAATTCTTATATTGTAATAAAATAATATAATAAATATCATAATATAGTAATTATTGAAGTATAATGGTAAATATGTAGCTGTCGCTTAAGCACGTAGGTACTTAATGACGATATTGTAATTTGGAGTTATTGTAGATGTAAATTTGCATTTGCCGCGCTTAAAACTGGAATTTACCAGGAACAATCAGTTTATGGCTTAAGTTGATAAGCAGGCTTTCGCGTACACCGTTTATGAATCTTTAACACGTATCGGTCCTACAAACGTTAAGTACCCACGATCCGCGATTAGCCAGTTAAATTTGAATTTTTAACGAACCGCTAAATTTAACGATATTTGTGCGATCAGACATTAGCACATTTCTGAGATAAATAATATAAATAAACTACTGATCATAAACTTAACATAATATTATACCCAGCGTCATTTTTTTCCCGTTTAACCAACACAATCCAACTGTTTGACGGTCATTGCGGTTGTTGTTGGCAGACGGTTAGGAAGGGAGGTACAGAGGAGGATAAAGGCACTCATTTTACAAAAAAATCTTGTCTTTGTGGTTTCGATATAATTAAATAAAGATACATTGTAATTTTGCAATGATATGCAATTATCTTTAAACATTATGGTCATAACAATCGTATATAATATTTTAAAGATAAATTATAATTTATTGTCTTACACAATATATTATATTATACATATATTATTATATAAATATATATATATTGTATAATATAAATATATTAGGGTGGTTAAAAAAACCTTACTTTAAAATTTTGTTTGCATGACCCCCCTCCCCCCATTTGTTTCTATAATATAAAAAAAATGATTGTGTGAAAATTTGGGTTCGATTACTCAACCCCTTCACGTGCCGCATTAGGGTTAAATTTAAGCCAGAGTTTTTATTTTATGACATTTATTTTAAAATCTATAATAAATAGCATAAAAGTGTTTAGATAACATTTGTATAACCTATAGCATATAGTTAGATCTAATAATTGTGTTTAAACAATTTTATGATATTTACTATATTTATATATTTATATATATATATATATCCTGTCTGGGTTTCATGTAGAATGAAGACCAAGCAGCAACCGAGATTAGGCTGGCACGCAGGGCGGTCTCGGGGAGAACCGACGAGGTACACTTAGCTCGATCCTCTTAAATTCTTTACATGATGCCGTTTTTACAAATTGTATTTTACACTTATAGTGACAAATAATTATTATACAAGATAAAAAATATGAATTTGTATATATATTATATGGGTTAACGCCAAATACGAACAAACGTTTGGAGCGACCCCATCGGATTTTTTTGAAAATTACATTGCATGTCTGTTACAATGAAAAGAATGTTCTTAAATGTTTCTGGATTCCCCCCCCCCCACATTATTTTGGCCATGGTCGTAAAAAGTGATTTTAGTTTTTTTCATGACATATACAAATAAAGACTAAAACGCGAAGTCACTTTCTGAAGTATCTACCCGACCGATTTCAAACATTTTTTTTTTGTTAAAATATAGTTTAACATCATTTCTATGAGGGCTAAACAACCAATTTTTTATTTTCGTTCTCAAACCATTTCTATAAGCGTCTTTACATAATATGTATACTGTTTTATAGTTTTTTTATAATAAATCTAAATGATTTTCTAATTTTCTTAATTAAAACTCGGCCTTCTAGCTCCCATAGAGAAAATAGTAAGCTTCACATAAAAAAAAAAACTAAAATCCGTCCAATAGATACGCCAGAAAATGACTTCTGCGAAAGTCATTTTTTGTCGAACTGTCGCCATAACCCGGAGAAAAAGAACTTTAAAAGTTTTATAACTAGAAAAACTTAATATTTTTTCACTTCAAAATTAGTCGGCAATTTTTCGTCAAACATTGCCTATATTTTGCCCCTTAATAAATAGCGCTTTCCGTTCCCCATAAAGAACTCGCAAGCTGATAATACATTTTGCCGAATATTAGTGAAGCAGCTTGTTTTCGCATCATAACACTTAACAATAAAATCAACGTTGCTGATTAAGTACCTGGAACCGACGGGCGACATGGGTCGTATAATGAATAATTTTAAAGCATAATATTTTTTCTGGTTTTATTGCAAAACAAATATAATCGATCATAACAATAATTATTGCACGTGACGGTGGTGCCCATTAAACAGCATTTTTCGATAACGAGAATCCCGTCAACGTCTCAGTATTTAAAGGCTAAACACTCGCACAATTAGGTTCATTATCACTGGCTAACACATTCATCAATCGACTGTCCTTATCATGGTACGGCTTTATTACCCAAACATTTTATGTAATATTATATTTCAACACAAATATACATATATATATAACAATTTTTTTTTTCTAGTAAAATTCCTTTTCGAAACGGTTGGACTGCACAACGGCGATACAGTCGAAACTAAATTGTGTAAATCATTTAAGATAATAATCGCCAACAGGTAAGGGTTGTTTTTGTTTTCATTCCTCATCCAATCCAAACTTATCTAAAAGAGCCCATTGAAGTCTAATCGAGTGTAAAGCAATTTAGCGTTTTATTAAAATATATATCATATTATTATTATGTTTCCAATGGGAATTTTTTTTTATGTTTAAGTATGATTACGATATTATTGGAGTATATATACAATATTTTCAGTTGTCGTTAATAGTTGTTTATGAGATAATTACATGATGGGGTACCTAAGTGCCCAGTGTTGTAAAAAATACTTTCTATAATTAGTGTTTTTTTTTTTTATTAAAAAAATTAATAATATTCGAATAAAAGGCAGTATTCACGTGCCTTTTGGACATAATTATGCCTAATTCAGATACAATTTTTGACTTAATTTCAAAAGTAGAGTTGCCAACCATACTCAAGCTCCCACTCCCCAGTTGTGCATATGGTTTGACTTAAGAGTTATAAGTCATAAGAAAAAATGTTTTATAACAGCAAATAAATCCTTCACGGGCACTTATTAACAAAAACTGAACAATAACAATCCACGTAGATTAATCATAAAAAAGAAAAAGCCTCGCTTATCAATTTTGTGACCTAGATGGTCAATTACATTTTTGTGGACACTGTAATTATTTCTTTAAACTCTAAAATCAAATTCTTAAAGAACTTTACCGATGGAATCTATCGATGTTGTTTTACCGCTTCTAAATTTTCAGTGGAAAGTTCCATAGCTTTTTTAAATTTCCCTGGTATGCTTTTTATGCCAAATGGGTTACTAGTATAACTGAGTATAATTCTTTTGTGTGCGTTTCTGGTATATATTTGGGAATTCTCTCTTAAGTTCCTTTATAACATGCATGATACTATGTGTTCATGCATACAAATGTATATATAATTTAATATTGTTACCTATTGATATCTGCTTACTGCGTTTTCTGTTCATTTTAAACATTATAATACTATATAAAACATATTGCATTTATAAATTTAGCGTAAGGCACTTTATTTAATGACCATTTCAATAATGTTGCAGATTTCTTTTTAAAATATTGCGGTTGAGTTTTTTATACAATATTATACATTGCTTAATTAATTAGTTAAAATATTATCAACAATGTCATATCCGATTTGGAAAATAATTTTTTAAGTTAAGCATATTTTACTGAAAAGTTGACTGGTTGATAACCAGTTTTATACAACTATTTTTAAAGTTATAAGAGTTTAAAAGTTATGACGGGAGGGGAAATTCGGTTGGGAAGAGCGCACAGATAAAAATAACACTACACTCCACCTTTCTTCCTGCCCTAGCCTTTAATCTTTAAACTTTAAAAATATTTATGCTAAACTTGATATCGAACAGCAAACATATTTAGTAATTTAATCTTTATTTAAAAACTTGATTAAATATTTACGTTACCATTTAAATTACAAAAGTTGACATAAAAATAGAAAATTTGAAAAAGGGTTAAAAAAAAAGTTTGTAAAAATTTGAGATTATGTTGCATAAAAATACTACGAAAAATAAATATTTAATTATTAAACCCTATAAGATATTGAGTGAATCACTTAAAAAAAAAATACTCTGTATTATTATCATTGTAAAAACAACATACATTTTGTCTTTCCTATAATAACTGAATAATTTATTGTTCGTTCTGTAACGTATAATTTTATTATCTTTTAAATGAAAGGTGGAGTGTAGTATTATTTTTATCTGCGCTCATTTGCCAACAGCACTTCACTCCCCGTCCTAACGTTTAAACTCTTGTAACTTTAAAAATAGTTCTTCAAAACTGGTTATTAATCAGTCAAATTTTTTATTAAAATATTCTTAACTTAAATAGTTAATAATATATTACGTATATTACGTATAATACGTATTCATATTTTCTATAATATATACAGGTTAGGTTTTATGAGGTATTATTAAATGAAATATCTTCAGATAAATTGAGATAGGATAAGGCGTGAAAGATAAAAGTATTCGAGTTCACTGTCAATTCTAACTTAACTAATAATATTTTCTAAAAAATACTAGAAGGTACGCAAAATATACTAATATTACACAAAATTGATTATACTTGCCAGTGGTCTAAATATGTTAACAGGAAGCAATAATTAAAATTGAGTTAATTTGGATAATATACTTGATAAATTGTAATATTAATTAAAAAAACATATATCATCATAACATAATTACTAATAGAAAATTATAATTTATACTAATATTTTTCATTATTTTTCATGACAGAAATGATTGCAGAACACAATTGTCTCGTGTTTCTTCTGAGTGTGTCGATCATACATTTATTTGGCCACGTAAAAACTGAAAAATCAATATCTGAAAAATTAACTCAAAACAAAAACGTCCCTCTTATTGAAGGATGGTTCGCTACACCAATAAAACCTGAAACATCTACATTTAAAATACCTCTATTCAAACCCACATCGACTGTTAAATATGGCACCGGGACATCTACCAGTGGTTCCTGGCCACCACCTCATAACGAAAAACCTACCTCGGGACCGTCATGGGTTACAGATGATATTTCGTCGTCTCCAAACAATGGCGGAAAATTTACACAGTCTTCGAGTTCACCATATTGGAGCCCAACATACAATTTTTTCCCTACAACAATGAAACCTAGAACATCTACAGGTAAAATACCTCCAGTAGATGTCACAACTCCAACCAATAGCAAACCAAATGAAAGTACCATGAAACTCACAACGCCGTCTACTCCCAACAATGGCGGAAAATTTACACAGTCTTCAAGTTCACCACATTGGAGCCCAACAAACATTTTTTTCCCTACAACAATGAAACCTAGAACATCTACAGGTAAAAGACCTCCAGTATATATCACATTTCCAACCGATAGCGAATCAAATAAAGGTACCGAGAAACCCACAACGCCTAATAAATATGGCACCGGGACATTTCTCAGTAGTTCCTGGCCACCACTTTATACTAAAAAACCATCGAACATTAAGGATTTGCTTTCTATATCGCCAGGTAATGCTTTACCAACTAAACCAAACAGTACCAAAAAACCTTTATGGATTCCGCCTCATCCTTTTTGGTTTCGACCTACCTCGGAACCGTCAATGACTACAGATGATAGTGACGGAGAATTTACAGAGCCTCCGAATTTACCTGCTTGGCCCCCTACTTTTTGGCCTCAACCTACTTCGGAAGCGCCAACGTCTACAGATGATAGTGACGGAGAATCTACCGAGCCTCCGAATTTACCTCATTGGCCTCCTACTTTTTGGCCTCAACCTACCTCGGAACCATCAACGACTACAGATGATAGTGACGGAGAATTTACAGAGCCACCGAATTTACCTGCCTGGCCCCCTACTTTTTGGCCTCAACCTTCCTCGGAACCGTCAACGACTACAGATGATAGTGAAGGAGAATTTACAGAGTCTTCCAATTTACCTCCTTGGAATCCTACTTTTTGGCCTCAACCTACCTCGGAACCGTCAACGACTACAGATGATAGTGACGGAGAATTTACAGAGCCTTCGAATTTACCTGCTTGGCCCCCTACTTTTTGGCCTCAACCTACTTCGGAACCATCAACGACTACAGATGATAGTGACGGAGAATCTACAGAGCCACCGAATTTACCTGCCTGGCCCCCTACTTTTTGGCCTCAACCTACCTCGGAACCATCAACGACTACAGATGATAGTGACGGAGAATCTACAGAGCCTTCGAATTTACCTGCCTGGCCCCCTACTTTTTGGCCTCAACCTACCTCGGAACCATCAACGACTACAGATGATAGTGACGGAGAATCTACAGAGCCTTCGAATTTACCTGCCTGGCCCCCTACTTTTTGGCCTCAATCTACCTCGGAACCATCAACGACTACAGATGATAGTGACGGAGAATCTACAGAGCCTTCGAATTTACCTCCTTGGCCTCAATCTACCTCGAAACCGCCATTACATACCAAGACACCTAGAAATATTTGGCCAATTCCATCCGGTAATTGGGCACCACCAAATAGCGTGTGGCCTCCGTCAATTGACAAGTCACTTAAATTTCAACCATTGTGGATATTAAGACCATGGCGACCATCAAATTTAAATAATAAAAAGCCATGTCGAACTAGATGTAAAAAACTGCTATGCACCAAGCTTAAAAAACAACTTAAAAATAGAAAAGCATCTAAAAATGACAAGTTAGTTTAATATGTTTATGGCATAGACCATCAAATCTCTTTAATACTTAAAAAATAAGGAACAGAATATATTATTTGTGTCTAGGTAATTTTATCATTAGATAAAAGAAATATTTTTTTTCAATAGAACGTTTTGAATTTACTTAAATTTGTTAGTTGATTAAAAATTTAGTTTCTAGTTAAAACGTAATTACTTATTAGAAACACATAATATCACATCACAATATTTTTTGGGGTTTTAGTGATTGGAACACTTTACCAAATAGTTAATTTTTTACTTGAATTCCTCATGTAGATTTTAATAAACATTTTAAGTTTTAACGAATGTGATGGTTCGAAACTATATGGTTCAAAACTTGCATTCATATGAAGCTATTTCTATCAACTCTACTTAAAATTTAAGTATAGCTACTACCTTTTAATTTAAAGTATAGTTGGGGCGTGCAATAACTACAATATTAAATACAAATAAAATTTATCACTGTTTGTTGTTACAAGAAACTTTTGAAATTGTATTTTAAGTGATGGTCTGATCACAAATAGCATGGTAAAAATCGTAATAGCTGATACAATTACAATAAGCTATAAATTGACAACGACAACAATAGTATTGCACTATTTGTACACTAGTCAATTTACAATAAAACCTACCATCAATTTTTATTTTTGATAGTAGCTGGCCTAGTTGCCTATACTTTGTACACGACTTTTTTTATATGTCTTGATCGTTCCGTCTATTACTAATAAGTAAATATAATTGTACCTATTGTTATTTATGTACGTTATTAAATATTTATGTATAAAAAAGGAATAAATAGTTATAATACACTGTAACTACTTTTTATTTTTTTAATTTTTACTGATTTTAGTGAAGATGAATTTACTACATACACTATCCACAAATTTGTTTGATTACATACAAGAAATTATATTATATAGATACAATGCACCATATTAGTAGGTACGTCATAACTTTTGCTCTGAGTGTGCCTGGCTGAGGCTAACTTTTTTTAGGGGGGGGGGGCAACATTTAAACTTGATAAAAACCCTGTATTTTATATTTTATTATACCAATTAAAATGTATTTAATAAAAGGCAACAAATTCACACAGTAGGCATTTCTTTTTTAATAAAACAATATTTGAAATAATGTTGAATACACATTATGTTAGAATATTTTTATATTGTTATAAGTCATAAGATCTGTTTTAATAATAGATTATAATTTATTTTAAAATCATAAAAATTACAGTTATGAATCTGAACTAAATTAATAAAAATTTTAAGGTGGGCCATAGTAGGGAGGCACTTTTTAGGGTGGGCCTGGGCCCATCTCTGGTGTCGTCACTGTCACACCAACACCTGCAAGCTTAACAACCGCATCTCACATCCACACCCCACACCTAGGTGAGTGTAGGTAAGATAAAACCTACCCCTATCTGCTGCCCCTGCCGTAATATTAACCTAATCCAACATAATTTATATACACAACACTGTTAGGTCAGTGTTGATGATTTAAGATAATAACACATTACGTTTATTTCTTGTCCCGATTCAATTATTAATTTTCTTTTGGGCTTTTGCTATATTGACAAAAAATAGTCTAATATGTATTTAAAAATAGTGTAAAAACGACCGTGAAATTAAATAAGAATTTCAATTATAGTAAATATTTTATATTTTGTTTTGATTTTATACAAAGAAAAATACAATCACTTTAAATATTCAATAACACAAAATTCTTAATAGCTCATTATTTTCGTATAACAGAAGCACACCAGATGTAATAAATAAAATATATATATTTGTTCTGATGCTTATTTCAAGATTCGACGTACATTATATCGTTCCAAGTACGTATAAGGTGAAATGAGCTGCGAATCCATAACGGTAATTAGCGCCATTTAAAATCAATAGAAATTTAATGCGAATCAAATAATAGGATAGAAAATTAAAACAGTGGTAATAATAATATGAAATAAATGTATACAATTTTTGTTATAAATAATTATTATTTATCATTTTTACTTAAACAATGAGCGAAAATGTTTTAAAAAACGAGCGTTTGTTAAATAATATACATCCTATTTTTTTGTAGGACACAACCATGGTAATATTATAATATAATGTCAAAGCTGTGATGTCAATATGCAAGGGAGTCGATTTATTGAAGTGTATGTTGTACCTACGTTAACTTTCTCTCTAAAGAACCACAGAAATTTTATATGGTACTGTCTTATACAACTAATATAAAATACAATACCGAACTTAAAGTTGAGCTAAATGGGATGCAGCCTATAATTTTTCAACATTATTTAACGGTGGTTGAGAAATTTAATTAAAGTGTATTATGATTAGGTTAGGTTATGTAAATGAAATTAAAAAACATTCTGTTCGTTAGTTATTTAAAGAAATTCAAATCGATTTATCGACACAGGCGGTGTCGATGAGAGAGTTGCATTCTGTTACAGTAGCAAATGTTCCATAGCCAGGTTTTCAAATAGTTGAATATTGTCAGAGATATCTATTTATACTATAATAGGCCTCTTGCTTGACTATTATGTGTCGGATTCGATTCCTGTAGCATTGAAACCCTGACGCTATATTATATACATTATCTTTATTTTTTTTTTATATATTAAAATAAAATAATATAGTTTTATATATTTCATAGGTACATTTCATCATATTTTGTACCTATAATTAAAGATAACAGTGTAAATCGAATGCGTATACGGCATTTACTTTCCCGAGCAAAGTTGTTGTTATGATTTGCTGCTTTGGATTGTGTAAAATAATGTAAACTAAAATGTTTCAAAAGTTACAAAGATTGCATGTGTGTTTGAGAGAAAGTTAGCGTTTTAGTGTAAAATTATCTATCGACACTTTGTACAAATCAACACACCTAACATCACGACTCACGCCGTACGTTGTTTGATAGACATATGTTTATATTGTTTCAAAGACATAAACCTTATCATAACCTTATTATAACGTTTGGTTTATCACTCAATTATGAAAGTATCCCATCGATATCAGTGGGATTTTCTGAAATTGTGGCCGTAGTGGCGGAGGGTCCTCGCCGTTTGTCCCGTTGCTTGATGAACGCACTCAACCTGTTCAACAAAAACTGCTTGTCGTGACCTTCGAGCACCAGCTGCTTGCGGAGCACGGCGATCATTTTTTTGTTGGCTTTTGTAATACACCGGTTATAGTAAACGACGCCCACCAGCGTGATCACGACGGACACCACGACGTTGGCAGAGAGGAGCACATCGACTACGGCGAATACGGCCGGCGGCACGGCGTCCGTGAGCTTGGCCGTCGCCGTCCACACGGACGGTAGACCCTTAAACGGGCCACACGACCGGGACGGCGTGATCCGGGCGGTGGCCGTCGCCCAGACTGCCGCACAAATGGCGTATGACACCAACAACACGGACATTATGGCTGTATGTGTGCGGGACGGTCCGTACACCTTGTGGGCTAGACTGTAATTGACAACGCACGTGAACCGCTTAATGTAGAACATGATGACCAACGAAAGAAGACCGAGTATGGGCATCATCGGTGCGTAAAACGTGCCCAGCCAGACGATTGTCTGCACGTAAATGACGTCCAGCACGTGCTTGGCAAGAGTCAACTCCTGTTTGCAAACGGCTTGGAACAACCGGTTCTTGAAATGCCTAACCAGTATGGAACGTGGGCAGCTGATTAGCAACGTGATGCCAATTTTGGCTGCAACGTCGACAATCAGCAACCGGTACATAAGCGTACCGAAGTAAGTTTCCCAGCACAGTGGCGATCCGCACAGTGCGCTGGCGCATTGTAACTTCTCGCGCACGCAGTTGATCAGCCTGTACACGGAGCCGAGCAGCACGGCCAGCAGTGACACCTTGACGGCTAGTATGCGCAGCACGGACGACCTGGTCTCTTGGTCGTCGGCCGCCGCCGGCCGGTTCTCCAGCTTGGCCAACACGTCGAATACAACCGGTAGCACCACGTTGTAGAAGGTGATGGCCACAGGAACGGCGAATTCCAGCAGCAACGTCCACGCAACAGTGTGCGGCAACTCACGCCTTTGGAGCGACTTTACCGTATAGACGAACATTAAGTGCACGGAACAGCAGGCCACCACAATCAGGCCGACGGATAACGACCACGTGAACGCCTTGACTATCGCGTTGGTCACTCGACAGCCTCCGGCGTCGTCATCCGCGTCAAAATCCCGGCCCTGGCCTCGACCACGATGGCGGCGTTGGAAGCGGGCGGCCGCCGTCGGCGATGAGGTCATTAAAAACGACCGCAATTCGTTTGCGATGGCCTTGCGTTTGAACTCAGCCGACGTCTGGTTACTGATGCAAAAGTCCCAGCCGACAAACACGGCGTTGGCGTACAAATAGTACCGGCACTGGGTCTCCACCATACGCTGTCTCAGACCGCCGATAGAATGTCGGATAAAGACGGCCAGCGTCACGACCATATGGAATACAGTGCAGCACACGTATGCCAGAGGCACGCGGTACGTGAACAGCGGTTCTGCCGGTGGCGGTGGCATGTCAAAATGCTGTCCGGCCGGGTAGTGACCATAGTACGCGGCTGAACTCTCCACCCAACCTGCACCGCGCACCACGTCCAATACGTACAACAGTGACTTGTCACCACTGGTACCTGCCACTCCAGCCAACGTCCGTGTTGCGTTTTCGTATATCGCACTGCAACACTCTATGGACGCACTGCCATTGCTTGATCCGCATTCGTCCCACGGATCCGCCGTCCGATTACCCGCCGTCCGCGCCTGCCATTCTGTCCAGTACGCAGACGGTAACACAACCGCGGCCAGCACTACGCCTGCTGTGAACGCGTTCACGAATATCAGCAGCTTGATAAATACAAAGAACTGCGCCACGCCAGTGCCACAATGCCCTTGGATTTTGCGCAGACTCGATCCCCACAGGTTACAATTACCCATGTATTCGTTCCATTTAGTCTTAACGTGCAAGCAAAACTTGCGCTTCTGCCATCTCAACTGCTGTAGTCCTTGCAATCTAAAAGCGTCAGCGCTCTGTAACGTATAAATTAGATCAGAAATTATGTAAAAATACTCAGATAATTTCAATATTTCAAATGACTTCAAAAGTCTTTAGAAAATGATATACTATAAGAGAAAAATAACTATAATGTTATGAATATCCTGGAGTTAATATTATATTTTTTTAACGCTATCTACTATTTTTAACTATAGATGCATAAGAAAATAAAGAAAAGTTATAATATTTGTAAAATAAGTTATAGAAAATGAGGCCGAAGTCTGTATAAGTGAGAAAATATACATTTTCTACGTAAAATACGTTATAACAATAAATGTTAAAATGAATACTTTTACAGCTTCTTATTGAGACTAAAAATAAGTTTTTTTATAACTACGAGATCATTTCAATGAACCTTTTAAGTTATCTAGTTAAACTTGATTAAATTTGGTTTCAAGTTATGAAAATATAATATTGTTCTATAGATATTTATTTTAAGATTATACGATTATTGTAAGAAATCTATATTTTTTTATTTTAAATAATTTATGTTCATTTTTATATCTCGTACATTGCTTCGTTGCATTTGGTTTTTACATTCTTGGACATTTTATCTGTAATCAGATGTCGATCTAGAAATTACAAGTAGTATATCATGATTTGAGTAAAGTTAGTATAGAAAAAAATGTTTCGCAGTAGATCTGACACTGTTTTTTTGCTCGTCTCTTAATAATTATGAACCTTTTTTAACCATGTAATATTGTTAGAATCCTATTTTAATTAACAACTGTTTATATTTATGGCGATTATAAAAAAATTGACATAAAAATTTAAAGATAAGGGAGAACAAAGTCCCTCTCTTCTTGAAACCACGCCGGGTTAGGTCAGGTTTTTTTATGGTTTCACCTCTTTTTGCACACCCACCAGTCAATTGAATTAAATCCAGAGACATCAAGTAAAATCATTTTTTTAACACCATCAATAATTATTTTCAGTACAAACTAATATTTCATACTCCACTCACTTTTAGCTTGGCCTTGAGTTCTTTTTTGTGCGTCATGCTGATTGGCAACGTTTTGATCTTCATGATTTCTTCCCATATCAGTTCCTCGTTGGACAAGTTTTCTGTGGAAACAAAGTCTTGTTCAAATCGTATTGTCGTATACCTCTACCTGCACAATTAATGGCGCTATTATAGAAAACTTACCGGACAGGTCGGGCATCAAAGATATTTGAATTTCATTGTTGACTCCTACGGTGTTGGCGTATAGAGTGTTGGCGAATTCGGGCGGTGGCTTCAACGGTGACGTCGTTTGATAACAAAGGGATCCGTTGTTGATTTTCTTCCTGGCTGTTATAACAGAAAACAGTTCGGTTAAAACCTACACAGTTGCTTATCACCCATTTTTTACCTGACCGGACAATGCGTCAAGTTGTGTTATTAATGACAGAAGACACGGTACTTACCCGTCCTGGTCTTGTTGCTGGGCAACAGCGTGGACAGTTTGTTGGGATACTTCTGGAACGCCTCCAGGTCAGCCTCCGCTCCGGGATAACTCTCCTGGTAGAATTCCGAACCGGCTTCTTCCCAAACTTCCACGCACTGCGTTTTCTTCTTGCCACCAGACATGATTAGACGTGGTTACACCCTGTTAAAGTTAAAGAAAACCTGAGCTTACTTAAACGTCAATAACGATCAGACAACGCCAGAGCAACGAACCTTTCAAACTGTAGTCAGTCTATCGCAGGCAAACTACAACACGAATCATAATACATAATAGGTTGTTAATCATTGAATATGGTAAGTAAATCAACAACAAAAAACATCATCTTTAGGAAACCCGAATAAAGTGGCATACGACAGACAATGGGTTTTCTAGCAATCCTGTAACAATAAAAAGTTGTTGATAATAACAACAATTATTGACAGGGTCAACTATGATGATTCAGGTTAAGGCACAAAACAAATTAAATTTAAAAAAAAACACAGTTAGACTGGACGAAGTGGAGACGGAGAGATCCAGGTCTACGGAAATTATTTTATAGCTGAAAATTATAAAATTTTAAAAAAGTGATGAACCTATTTATTTACACTTAAGTCATATTTAACTCAAAAAAACGTATTGATTTTAATATTATTTGATTTTTTTTTAGTTTTCTCAATAAATAATGTGACTACAGATTTTTGAAATTAAAAAAAAAAAATGGGAACGACATGATATGTTGTTAAATTTCATTGAAAAAAAAACTACTGAACATTTTTATTATATATTATAATTTATAGTACAATATAACATTATATGTGGAACAATAATTTAGGAATCTAAAGTTATAAGTTGCTGTTATTTTACGTTTCAACATAATATTATTACAAAATAGATGTCAAATTCTGAATTGTACAACAGTTTATTGATTCCATAAACCGTATTTGAACAAATAACTATACTATAATAAAGGTTTATGGTACTAATAGGTTTTATAACCCCCAAAATTAGTGCAATTATTAAAAGCAAATCGTTTTTGTGTGATTATAATACAACCTTAAGTGAACTAGACCTTAGTTTATTTTTTACATTTAATGGGATTATTATAATAAACTGTTAGTTTTAATGTTAATGTGTTATAATTAAATTAACAATACAACCTTGGTATTTAGTAACACAAAATTAAATTTCGAAATAGTTTTATAAAGCTAGCCCAGTGAGATCGGTTCATAGTGGAGACTAATCGTATTGGGCACAAAGTGGTCACAAGTCTTTAGACATTTTAACACTAAAAATTATAAAGTAATTTTCCGGTGTATATATTAAACGGAATTCAAATTTTATTATTTTTATGTGAAGATTACTATTTTTTCTATGGGCCGATATTTGATTTAGCTATCAGAAAATTAGTTAAATTCATTAGAAAATACCATAAAAAAGTAAAAATATAATAACGCTTATAATACAATTTTGAAAACAGAACTAAATAATCGACCTTTTAGCCCCCATAGAAAATATGTTATACTTAAATTAACTATACTATACTATACTATACTGTTGTACTAAAAATTTAAAATCTTCGGTAGACACTTCAGAAAGTGGAATAAAATTTGGCGATTTCCGTTCCCCTTAAACAAATGTGTTTGTAATAGTGTTGTTTGATTATTGATTTTTTCTGAATAAAAAAGCAGATTAATAATTGTTTTACTATTTTTAAAGAAATGACTGCATATGTATTTCACTAAATTTTTAATTTGAGGATAATCTACCGAAAATATAGACTGATTGATTAAGAAATATAGAATTTATAAAACGGTAAAATACCTAACATATTTTCAAAAACAAAACAGTTGAGAAATTCTTGATTTTTCACCGTATATCGATAGTACTATACCTTAAGAAAACCCCACACAAGTTTGGAAGTAGTCCAACTGTATTTGCCGTAATTTTAAAAAGAATAATTTGTAAACATTTTTGGGTCCTTTCTCAGATATGGTTTCAGGTAAGAGTACAATATCTGATGTAACATTACTAAGTGATAACCGAACCGACATTTTTTGTTAAATTGGAAGGGAAATACAATTTTTTTGATTATTTTGATACATAACGAACTGTGAATTATTTATTTATCATGGAAAAGACAAAATATATGGTTATTTTTTATAATGATAAAATAATATAGGGGGATTTTTTTGAAGTGATCCACTCAATATTTTATAGGGTTTAATTAGTAATTAAATATTTATTTTTTGTAGTGTTTTTATATAACGTGATCTCAAATTTTCTCAAACTATTATTTTTTTAACCCTCTTCCAAATTTCAATATTTTAGTCAGCTTTCGAAATGTAAATGGTAACGTATATATTTTATCATGTTTTAAATAAAGATTAATTTACTAATTATTGTGATTGTTCGCTATCCAGTTCAGGATAATTATTTTTAAAGTTATTAAAGTTTAAAGATTAGGATGGGAAGGAGGTATACTATTATTTATATCTACGCGTTATATTACTCAACCGCACTTCCCCTCCTGTCCTAACTTTAAAATTAAAAATGAATCAAAACATGACTGATAAATTCTATAAATTACAATTTAAGTTTCAAAAGTTGATATAAAAATAATGAAAGGGGGTAAAAAACATGAAAAATTATGAAAAATTAAGATCACGTTGTATGAAAAACTCTATGAAAAATTGAGTAAAAAAAAATTACATAATGAGTAGAGCCCTTAAACAAAATCACCTTGTACATAGTTTATTCAAGAAAATAATTTTTTTATTTTTATTTAGTTCATGTATATATGATAGTAATATTTGCCTACTTAAACAAAACTTTAGTTGTTTTGTGTATATTAATAGTAATAATAATATGTATTAGCAATCAAAATAATAAATTCAAAAAATATTGCATAATATGCAATATTTTAATATTTTTAGTAACAACTAGATTGGGTGTTTCGCCATCATCGGGTTACATAGAATTTATAATGATAAAATTATTAAAAACAATATCCCACTCACACAAAGAATATATAAAAGAGGAAAATATCATTGAATATGTTTGTGCATTAATAAACAATTATTACAACATATACGAGTAGTACAGTGAAAACCGTTTGTTAAGTCTTTGTATTAAAACGTCTATATAAATAATTAATAATTACAGTAACTACATATCAACAAATGACAAGGGTGGGGCTTAAGACACGTCACGCCTTCCCTCAAAGCCGACATCAGCTGTATTATACATGATAATGTGTTCATTAATTTTTAAATTAGAGCCAATGTCGTGGATTTGTTTTTAAGGTTTAAAATTGAATAATAATGTTTCCGTTTTTAAGTTTTAATCATACAATAAGCCATTGACAGAGTTTTGACTAACCAACAAATAAAAAGGAGGGAAGGGGAATAACGTTAGTCTTATTGTATAAACGAATCGTTGCTAAATGTGTAAAAAAAAAAACAGTGAATAGTAAAAAAACAAATGCATACCTATATCCAAAGTGATGCATGGTTTATTGCGTTCAATGCAGCAAGGTAGGTGGTAAACGCTATTGTTTACCCGACAGACGAATACATTGCGTGTTGGATGGCGCGCTACCGTCGGTACCTAATCACTTATCATAATGGTTATTACACAACAGAATGTGACGGGCGCGCGCGCGCTTGCATGTGTTCGCAGGATCGCAACGCGACTGGGTTTGAGGCGTTCTCCGTGTGCACGCTGCGTCGTCCCGCATGTGCGCGACGGCTGCGGCTGCGGCGGCGGCGGCTGACGCACGTCCCGTCGGGCGATCGATAGCCCACCGTTGCCGTGCGACCCTTACCGAGCTCCCGGCAAGTCCAGCGTCAACCGCGAGCGCCTCCGCCCTTCAGCCATAATTCCCGCCCGTCCACCCCACGTCCGCCCATTCGCTCGTCCACACGCTTTGTTATTTCGGCACAGCCACTCGTGTTATTATTGTTTTATAACACGATAATAATTAAAAAACACACCTAACTTCATGTGGATGAATTTCAAATATATTCATGTCACCAGTTTTTACCAATAAAAAAAGAACTAGTGGCATAAATACATCCGAAATTCACCCACATGATATTTCAATTAAATTTAATCCATTTAAGTTTCGACACATTCAAACCTAACTTGTTAACAGTATAATTTTCTTACGTCAATCTATACTTGTTGCATTTCTTTCGAATAACAACCATTCAACGATTAATGATGTGAGGTTTTAACTGAACCGCACTAGATGTAAAAATATCACAATTATGAGTAGTTTAAATATGTTTAAAATGTGAATAGTGAATGATGTACAACTCATGTGAGCCATAAATTCGTACATCATTTTACGGGCATACGTAAACTGCGCCCGGATTACCTTGTTTTAGGTAAACTCCACCCCGATTATAATTTGGTTCAAAAAAGGTATATGTAAACTGCACCCAAATTTTTTTTTAAAAAGTGGAAAAAGGTTTCATGTAAACTGCGCCGGGTTGCTACCACTTTTACCAAATTGCATAAATTGCCAATGTCCATGACTAGGTTTCTTGTCAGCGGGTGGAATTAGTATTGATAAGGAGGACGGCAGATCTCCGAGTGTTTTAGCACTCACTCGCTGTTTGGCCTCGGAAAAAGGTACACGGATGTCGCTTTCATTTAACACAATCGTGGAGTAGAAATATCCAACAAAATGGCTTGAGTATTGACTTTAAAGATAAGAACAGTGATATTAGAAGGTGGTTGGTTCAATGCTACGGTATACCATTTCTAAGCCCAGAAAGTGTATCTGAGTATTTTGTAAATTATTTAATGAAATCTAAGCCCGACGACGAAAGAGTGACACGATTTGCGGATTATTTAGTAGAAGATTATAGTGTGAAGAAGCTCAGTATCCACCTGAAATGTGGGCTCAAGCATCAGCAGGCCATTTTGAAATTAATTACAGCAATGTAAAATTAAAGTAATATTATATTACAATGGTAGCTTAATAGTAATATTATAAGCAATAACACAACGTCCAATTACCAAAAATCGACGAATTAACATGTTTAAATTTGGTAAAAATGTACGAATTTTATGAAAGAAAACCGCACAAACAAACGTGTAGATTATAATCAAAACCTGAGTAGTATTGATAGTGTAGACTTTACAAATCGTTGTTGTCCGGAAATGTAAGATGATTATGATAATTAATTATTAGCTAAGAGAACGAGGCCCATATGTTTCCATTCGGACAAGTGGTTTGCACTGTACACTGAAATGATTTTGTTAGTGTCCCCTGAGACCTATTCGCTCGCCCCCGCATGATGTTAATAAATATCAGTCTAATAATAAGACGAACATGAGAGCAAGGCAATGACCGGTCACCAGACTGCAATGCACCTTCATATAGTATCAAGGAAAAAATATGTTTTAAAAATACTAATACCAATAAACTACACAGAGCCCTCGAGCCGTAGTATATAATGGTATATATTATTTCCAAGCAATAATTTATTTGATTCATAGTGTAATTATAAATTAGGCTGAACTACTTAAATTGTATATCTTTATTTTATAAAGGGCTCTGTCCGGAAGTTCATGATCTAAACAAAACCAAAATATGCATGCGTTAAGCGCTAAAAACAGCCCATATATACACTACTAATAACTTATAAGCCCCAATTTAAAAAAAAAATGTTCAACTTATTTTTAGTTTTTTACGTTAAGATTAGTAATCACAGTCTATAATTTAAAAAAATATATTTTTTTTATTAAAACAATAATATTAAAATATACAATATTTATTTGCTAATAGACATGTAGCAACACTACTTTAAAAAAAAGTTTTGGTATATTATATAATTCTCTATAATTCCAAAAATAACGAACATATTAAAAAATATGCGAAAATATTAAGAAACCTCGAAATATAAAGAGCGAACTTTATTCTTTAAAATGTAATCTGTATCTTAAACAGCTATTTTTTCCGATCATATTTTAATAAAAATATACAACTGCATATACTGCAACCGGATCTAATTTAGAACTTTGTTTGGACTTAGGTAAGTCAATGTAATAAAACTGTACAAAAAATATTTTTCAAAACGTTTTGTATCAAATTGTGTTTGTGTAGATGACGTGTATTAAGCAGTGAGTCTAAGTAAATTTCCTGACAAACAATCTTATTATGATTACTCTATAACTGTTTTTCAGTATTCAAAATTTGTTTGACTTTCAACGAAAAAGTAGTTGTGAGTGATGCAAAACATTATGTCCACATAACCTACATAGTTCTACTGAACAATATTATTTATAGAAATATGGACATGTGTAAGTACCACACATGCAGATTTTCAGCTTTTAATTTTACATAATCAACGAACAAGTGTACTAAAACTCTAAAACAAATAGAAAATATCAACTATTTAATAATTATATAATATTATTATGATTAAATAATATCTACGGAGTAAAAAAATTCACAAAAGAATTTATTATTTTGCCATCCAAATTTTGTGCAAAACAAATACACATTAGATCCATGGGCAACTTTAAATTTTAAGAATTGGTTACTTATAATTTAATAAGTATAACGTGCCACTATTTTCATACGTTATAGAAATATATTTTGTTTGGATAATAAAAAACGAATGGCTCCAAACAGAGTATCATTTTAAAATGTATTTTAAACTAAAAAAAATAATAGGTAATTTATATCTTCGATGCGTAGCTAGAAAAGGAGGAAACTTTTTCTTTATTTCTCTTTTTTGAGCGTAGTGTTATGAGCGAAAGTAGTTATAATACACATATTGTGTAATTATCATTTTCTCAACATTTTTTTTAAAGAAAAATAAAAAAAGGGGAAAATTATGACATTTTGGTCGTAATTATTTCTAGGTTACTGTGTGAGTAAGACATTATTGTAACTACAATGTTGTTTTTTGATATTTGTATGTTTAACTGAAAATAAAAAAAAAAATTGTTTTAATTTAATTATTATTTTTTTTTTTAACTGAAAATGATAAAATGATTTTCAAATAAATTTCTATAGGTCCATTATATTGGCTTTTTCACAACACATAAGAATAAAACGTAGATACACTTATAAATTTGACATACTTATTAAATTCAAAAAACTTGAGAGGTTCTCTAATAGGTGTGTTATTAAATTTCTAATTTAGTTACTATTTATTTAATTAAACATCACTTGATGGCAAAGCCCTATTGTTTAATCGACCAAATCTTAATTATAATTAATTTGCTATCGGTACGATGACATCAATGATTTATTAGAAAAGGTATTGCGCACAATATTTACAAATAATAATAAATAAGACAAATTATCGCCGTCGTATGGTTTGAACATACACGATGTATGCTCTTTGGTAAGAAACTGTTATAAGGCAGATTGTTCTCACCTTAGAATATTACAAAATGCTCACAATGAAAATCATATATTATTTTATGTGTTTTTTTCTAAGCGCGCTTTTCGTAAGTATATATTTAAACTTTCAGTTGATAGTGTTTAATGTTTATCGACTAGAATAGTTAAAAATTGTAAAAAAAACTCCTAATGAAAATAATATTAAATGTATGTGAAATAACCTGAAACTAGCATATAGCCTTTGATATGTTTGTTCTGAGTAGAATTTTTAACAACGTTCGGTAGTAATACTTCATAGAGATACCAATTTTAGTGGTTTATAGATATGAAGATCGTGTTTCATATTAAATATATTTTATCTTCTTAGGTTTTACGAACAGCAGAGGCTGATGGTGATAACTTAGGTAACATAATAATTATATTAAGCTTAATAAAAAGTTATAATTTATGTAGATACACATTAGTAACATTAGTAAATATTAACATTATGATTTTAATGACATATTAAACTACCTATTAAATACAAAAACGAAAAATATAAGAATTGTCTCATATTTTGATATACCTAAACCGATTAGGAACATTTCTTTTGTATGCTTTTAATAACGCTTAGAGAATATACCCTATTATAATATTTTATTGACCTCAAAAGTACAGCTTAATTATACTGGCCGTTTACAGAATATTTTGTGTGATTTAAATTCTGGAGTAGCTGATAGTAAACAGAATTTAGGACTAAGTAATGAGTATTAAAAACCCAGCTGCTGATAATAAACATATTTTTCCTTTTTTTTTTTGGAAAATGTCAGTTACGTTCTTTGCAGACATCAATTTTGACTAGGATTTAGATACTCAGTTAGCTTTTCAATTTTTAAGTATATTTAGACTCAGTCTTTCTCTCTTAAGCTCCATCGATAACTAACATTCTGATGAATAAAGTGGAAAAAAATTATGTTGATTTTAAATTATGTTTAAACAGCAAGCGGTTTATTATTATCTTATGAAAATACTATTACTTTTGGGATTTGTTTATACATTTCAGATAATGAAGCCAAACAAATATTGAACATGATAGGAGATCAAAATGACATGACTTTATTATCGTCTACGGAAATCAATACCCTACCGGTGGCCGTCAAGAAAGACTACCCTCACCCGTCAGTAGAACCTAATGAAAGCCTACAAAATCTTGTTTCAAAGTACTTAGAAAGTGAGTATTTAGAATAAGTCAGGGATAGCATGGATATAAAGCCTGGATTTAAATAAGTTTGTATTTAAATAATTATTAAAAGTAAAAAAAAAAATGTGTTAATACATTTTTAGTTTGAACTCTAAACTATTATTAATTTAAATAAAAATGGATATAATTATTAAAATATACACTTAATTAAAAAACTATTTAAATAGAAAAATGTTCAAGCTCTTCGTAGCAAAGTCATACAACTTTATACGCACTAAGACCACTTCATTAGGCATAAAATAATCTCTATCGTAGCTGTAGGCTATTTAATCACTATTGGTTGAAAAATTAAAAATGTAATAATAACAGTAATAATTCCTTAAATTTTATTTTTCTAATCAGTAAAAATTATAATAACTAACAAGACATAAGTTTAAAATTACTTTGTTTTATAGCCTTCAATAAATAATTGGGGATTTTTAATTAATTCAATAAGCAATAAGAAATTGTAACTATTTTAACAAGTGCATTCGCTATGCTTGCACTAATCACGCAAGTTATTTTTAATAAACGTTTTTTTCCCCAGCTCCGTCTAATTTCTTCTACGACGACGCAGTAACTAGATATGGTATGATACATAAGTATTTCTTTTGGCATTTTGTCTACATATAGACTTATAAGTACTTAATCGTATTATCAGATTGTTCCCATTTTTCCATTACCTACTCTTTATTTGAGAATATTTCAAAGCATAATAATTATTGAGTATAATATAGTATAACACTTAATCCTGAACACTATTAGGTTAGTAAAAAATAGTTATTAATGTACTTTACCTTTGATAATGCCAGCTTGTATTAAGGGATAGGCAGAATATTATAATCTAACTCGTCTAACGATATAATTTTTTTTAAATATTTTGTTTAAACAAGTAGTCATCTATGATCTGTGACCTATATTTATCTACAATTTATAAACATTTAATTTAAGAGTAGCTACATTATATTAAAATATATTATCATTAATATAATTAATTCTTTTTTTTTATCAATATTATTTATATTTATCTTTTTTATCATATGAACTTTTAATGAATTTTTTTATCTTATTTATTTTTCGGTGTCATTTTTTTTTTAAAAATATAGTGAGGGTAAAATATGATTCAGGATGATTCCATTTAACGCAAGACACTTAATATTACCGAAAATAATTGTATTTTAATGGTTATCATTTTTTAAACCATGTTTATTATGTTATTTTATAATATTATTATGAAAAGTCTTTATAACTTTTTTTACTATTGTCCAGAGTTCTGTCAAGTATAAACTCAATTATTTTATTAAGTTCAAAAAAATTTGTTGTAATTTTGAACTGGTCCATAACCAGTTTTAAACAATGTTAAAATAATAGGATGGGGGAGTGTAGTATTGTTTTCAACTGCTGCATTACACTCCACCTCCCGTCCTAAGTTTCAAACTTTAAAAGTAATTATTCAAAACTAGTCATCGGACAGTCAACATTTTCAAAAAATTATTCTTATTTTATAAAATTAAGATAATACATATATATATATATATATATCATATATACGTTATTCTTTAAAAATCTTAAGGTCATAGAATTATAAGGCATAAGATATGGGGCTGTTGTGTTGAATAGTAAATAAAATTCGGGCTAACTAATAACTATGATAGTATGAAAAAAAATGTTTTTAAGTAACCCATCACCCTGTATTATCAATACTTTCCGAAAACAACTAATTTATATTTTACTATGATATACTAGTGATGAACTCGCGCTTCGGCGTACATGTATAAATCTAATATTTAAAATTATTTTCTAGAGATTGCTTATTGTCTTATACAAACAAAATATACGAATTTGAATGCACACTGTGCGCATTATTTTTTTGGTTAGTCGATTCGCATTTTTTATAACGTGTACATAACACATTACTATTACTCAAATGTGCAAATATTATCGAGTTAAAGAACGTGCCGATGTAATATATCGTCGATGGGCGACTAATACTTTGTTCTAAAAAAAATAATATAATATTTATGTTATAATAATAAAATTTACATAAAAAAATATGAGGGGCTGTGTACAGCTATTTAAATGTTTTTGGTGACATATGTTATGTGTTCAGTTAATTTTATTGCATTCACTTCTGATTCGGTGTAAAATAAATAGCGTTATAAGATAGCGAATATATTAACATTAATACCTCTTGAGTAGGTCGGTTTTGATTAGTTGTTCGTTTTCATGTCACATCACCAATATGGGGTTTGATTCAATGAATATCACACCCTTGTTTTGTTACTAGTTGTAAAATATTTCCCAACACGGAGCAGAGTGAGCTTATTCTTGAACGCATGCATTATTCAACGTTTTTCATTAATGCTAAGCTCATACTATGACTCGGGACTCCCCTGTTACACACTGCTATAGGCTTTATAACCGAACACCATAGCACTAACACAACCACACGTGCCCAGAAAAATGTTCAAAAACCCTCACTCAAGGAATGGTAATCCATTTGAAAAATGACCATTACTATTGTTACTATTATAATTTATCGCCATTATTATTACCAACTTTTGGCAGCTATTTAAAATTTAAATGGGAACGTATATGTTTAATTAACATTTTGAAAGTAGAATAATTTGCTGAAAATGTTGACGCTATGCATTACAAAATAATCCGGTGCTTCTCACTTGACACTATGTAGCTCCCTTCAATTTAGGTTTATACCTCTCCTATAATATGATACTGGTAAAGTATTTAGTAACATACAGCTTATAGATTATAAACAAGATTGCTAATAACTTTGATCCCGGCCACTGCTCAGGAAACCGAACGAAGTCAATTTCCATATCTTCGAGTATTGATTAACCAAGAACTATATTATATTATGCTTACTTTTTTTTCACGATTTCCATTCTAGTATATTTCTTTATGTTATTTACTATCAAGATAGCATCATTTAGTTACATAATATAATCTTATCGTTTTTAGAAAATTTCAACAACTTCTGTTACTTCAACATGCTCTTGTGGATGATCATAGATATACACGATGTACGAGAAGGTGAGCCACTTATAGATTATTTTTAGCCGGGTTTAACATTTCACATTAATCTCAATCTACATTGATATTCGTGTACGGAAAATAATGTCAAACCAAATGTCATTAGGTGAATCTAAACAAATTACTAGAGCAGGTTATGAGAAATATGTCAATTTAATAGCCAACATGATATTAACGATACCGAGTGAGTGAATATAATAGTTCTATAAAAACTTAATAACAAATTGATCATAAACATTTAGTGATTTATTTAATTCGTTAAAAAAAGCAAAATAACATTTTATATACACCAAACTTACACCAAGTTTACACCAGATCTTGTATACACCAAATCTACATCAAGTTTACACCAATTCTGTTTTTGTTACAGATAAACTTTTTGAAAACGACCAAGTACGGAATAAACTACTTAAATTGTACAAGGCTATCGCAAGTAATTTTAATAGATAATGTTTTTTATAGCCTACTGGGGATGAGACTTATGAAATCCGAATTGTTAAAAGAAATAGATCTTAATTTTTTTAATTTTTTTAAAATGTAATAATAAAATATTATTTGACTAAGAAAAGAAACTGAATTATTCGGATAAAAACGCAATGCGTTTGTCTTAGCTGTCTCATATATTATATTTTGTCAATTTTAGGATTTGACTTTGAATTTATGACCATTAGACTATCATTGTTTCAGAGGTTTTTCCAAGGGCAGGAGGATTTTTTGGGAGGTTTGCTAAACGTAAGTATCTGTCCGTCTAATTAGAAGTTTTATTTGCTATTTTTTTTTTATCAAAGGACTCTTCATAGAACGCTAAGAACTTTTAGGGTGTAAATATTAATATAGGACTTTTTCTTCATCTTCAGCGTTCACCCATGAACCGTCTATTTCGTCGATCGTTAACGACCTTCGAAGTTTGGCCGACCTTGACGTCTGGGAAGAGTCTTATCCCGGTACGTATTTGCTATACTCGTTTATTTATTACGGCATATTTTAATTAAAATATAATTTTGGAAGTTAACTCATCTCCCACAGAGATAAACAATTCATATAGATTCAAAATGCTTACTATGTAAATTTCGTCCTGGTCCCGGCGAGACGTTTATCATCTTTTCAGCATGTAATTTTATTCACTTTTAGAGAAAAAAAAACCCTTAATAAACTTCCAAGTTCATAATTTATTTAAATAGCGATAAAAAAATAGACTAAAAGTTGACCAAAATGTTATTGGCTAGTTTTCCAAAAGCAGATGGGACATATTTTATTATTGAAAAGTTCCAAGTCTAGTCGATTTCGATTGCACCATACTAGCAAATATAATAGCCAACATTATGTCCACAAATCATATTGTCGTCAGATTTTATATCGTTTATTTGCAAGTGAATGACATTAACAGCTAGCTGTAAATAAGCAATAGCTGTTGTACTTTGCCAAGCTCGTACTTAAACGCATATAACTAATGTTATTTTGTTTCATGTTACACGTATAGTACGTTTTTTGTTCTCGCACTACGAACTAGGACTGATCAATACCCACAAGGATCTTGTTAAGATGCACAAGGATGTGTGTTTCAACGAGTTGTACCACCGTGAGTATTATAAAAATAATTATTGTGTTTCGTCCAGTGTGTGTCATGCTTGTTTCATAGTATTACTTTTCGTTTACGATGATTTTATTAACGCGTTTCAATGCAAAAGGAGATTCAAGTCATCCTACAGTCGTAAATTTGATCCTCGTGTTGGACATAGTTTCAAATACTTATCCATCGACCATCAACACAATGATGATACGTGCATTAAGATATCACGCTTTTCACGATATTGAAACGTTGAGCCAAGGTAACCTATACTATGTTCATGTCTTTATCGCAACTTAAGTGCGTACAACAGTTGTTTTAGTGCTAAATCTTCAGATTTACCGTTATTTACAAATTAAATAAACGTTCAATTTACACGTTATTTTAGAAAATATTGAAAAGCTGACCTCGCCTCATTATGAACGCTCGGCGATTTTTATGAAAAGTAATTGTATAACTACACTTTTTTAATCTTAATGGACCTCGCGACTATGATGAAATTGAAACACTTTTACCACAGTCGCGAGACCCCTTAAGACATATCCTTGGGTAGTTTCAATTAGAATCTATCAAACGTTAAAAATTATATAAAGTTCAGACAATTAATACTTTAAACCCAAAATACAATTAATAATTACGTATGAATTATTAATGTTTAACTATGTTTTACATAAATAATATTTAGACGGGATAGAAAATTACTTCAACATCGATTCCACGAGTCCACTAACAGTCGAACACAGAGCAGGTACGGACAAACCCATAGAAATGAGCTTTAAAGTTTTTATTTTCCTTTAGGCTCTATGTTAATTTTTTTACCAAACTCTTCATACGTAATTAATTTTTTGGCCTCGCAGTGTTTACAGAATGTTTCAATTTTTGTATTTAGTGGACTAACTCGTTTATGTCCAAAATTGACATTAACCCTTTAAGACCCAAGCCACAGATTTCATCTTTAAAGCGCGTGGACACTATTTTGTCTCTTTTCTAGTGTCACGTGTACTTTATAGAAACATTTTTTTGTTAATACACAGCCGTGCAATATTTAAGAGTTATTCTTAACGCTCCCTTCGTTTTTATTGTTGTCGTTAGACACTAAAATACTATTGGTTGTGTTTTTCACAGTTTTGCCGGATGACGATGACTGCAAACTTAGCGATATTGATGAACACTACGCTAAACAAGCACAAACCGTCGTTAACATATCCGTATTAAACATCTGTAAAAGGCATAACGATGCGGTCTTCGAAGACTACAAAGAGTTCGAAGGCGACCACAAAGAACTAGCGTGTAAGTATTGACCTTTAACGTGAAGCGTTTATGACGACTCTTGAACCACAAATCATAGACAAATTCACTTTAAACACAAAACTATAGATCATCTAACTGTTATTTAATAGTTACATTCAAAAACGTTTTAGGTGTGTTAAAACTCAAAATGAAAGTTTGGTGTTACAAACAAGTCAATTTAATAGCGGAAGTGCACAATGATTTAGCGAAGAAAATCCATTCCGATAGTAAATAAATTTGTTTTTGTTTAAATAGCAAAAGAAGAGTGTATACTCATGTAGTATACATTATGATAATACATACATTTCTATTGTATTTTTTTTTAAGAGGCTTCTATTTGGTGTATTTTTGGCCGTAAACCACTCTTTATTATTTTAACCGTATTCCTTTTTAATATTATAGTAAAAGTGATTAAAATTATTTTCAATTTTTTAAATAAAAATAATTTTTAAATCTAGCCACAGTCGATGCCTTGTAAATGTTATGAAAAATTAAAATTTTTTTTTTTTTTTAGAATTTAAATTGAGAGTATTCTTAGGAACGTACTGTGAGAAGTAGACATATATGTATTTATATAAAAATGACTGTTTGCGTAATAAATGTTAAAACAAATTTAATATCAAAATAGATACTTAGTAAATTTATGAGTAAAAATTTAAACTTAATGTTTCGGTTTTAATGAAAAAATGCCTATAAAAACTCTTTAACAAAATGCACTTGCGTGAAGGCACCTTAAAACTGCGTTACTACTGTAATTTGTGTTTTATATAGTATTGAACGATGAAAATCAAGGAATCTTAAAAATTATTAGCAATTTTGAAAAATCACTCGATGAAGATCGGTCATTCGCACTTCAGCTTTTTAACGAGTACAAAATAAAAAATAGTGAGCCGAAGCGTAAGTTGATTTACTAGTAACGTTTACGAAACGATTCATGCAATAGTTTTCTATTTGTCAACACTTATTTATCATGATTATTTTTCGTTGACTTTTGAACGGTTTTTATTAATTTCTATTAATTTCATACTTTTTTATACAGCCAAAGAGTTGCAGTACATAGATCATCCCGAAATCAGCAAAAAGTTTTGGAATATGGAACGGTTACGGATACAAGATTTAAAAGGTATTTAAGACAAATCACTATAGTGTCCACGTTACTTGTATTGTTCTGTATAGACTTGCAATTTTTTTTTTTTTTTAATAAAAATAACACTACAACTATTATACATTAGGAACTCTATGTCTTAACTTTTATGCGTTCAATACCTTCAAAATAGTTTTCTAGTAAGCACAATTACATGTTAATGTTTCAGATACTTTCCACTTGATGATAGAAAGAGAGTTTTTGATTCCGATTGTAGGCAAGTGTTTGAAGGTATACCTAGTAGGAGTTACTTATATTTATTAATTTATCTAAATTTTCAGCCATCATCAAGGCAGACGTGGTTAAAATTAACGACATTTACTTTAGTATCATCATCGAAGCCTTCACATACTTAAAGACGAAGATTCTCCTAAACATAATAAGTAAATAAATGTTTTCAATTAAAATATACTAGGAAAACTAATAATCGCATGTAACAATAATGTTTAAAATATTTTTTTTTAAAGACAAACCTACTTTAATTAAAAAAAAAAAAAAATAGGATAATTTAAAATTTTTTTAATTTTATCCATTTCTTCCGATACTATTTAGTAAGTAGATATTTTTTACATGATGAGTTTAAGAATAAGAAAGTGAACAATCTAGTTTAATTGCACACTGTGGCTTAGTTCGTGTTTAAAGTACGTTAAACTAATTTTGGTTCTATTAATCCAATGTAGTGCATTGTTGTAGCATAAGTGAATTGGATAAGACACCTCTTCCTTAAAGGATGCAGCAATGGCCTTTAATGGACCGTATTAAGCCTAAACAAAATATGTTGCAAATAATAAAGTATTAACAACAATATTAACTACTAATGTAATTTACCAAGTTTACTTAGTTATTAGAGGAAATAAAATTATATCGAAATAATTATACTGTTTATATTATATTTACAGAGTTTTCGGTTACACCTATATTTAAGTATTGGCTTTCCTCTCCTTTTTCTTATCTGACTTAATGTCCTAATGGCCATTTTATTCTCTTCAATATTATTGCTAAATTCCATCTCGTTTTGGCAATCTCTGAAAATAATTTAAACAATACACCCTGTACAAACCTAAATAAACCTGTATCATTAGTCTGCTATTTATTGTTTTTTTTTAGGAGACAAGCGGTTTAATATGACAAACACATTTTTACGGTATATTAACAAGTCATACGAACGAATTTTGCATTATGTAAATGCTTTATTGGACATCAGAACCTCAGAACGTATGTATTTAATCATCTCTATTAATACAGATATCAACTATTTTTATTGATTAGTGGGGGATATAATCTAGGACTAATCTGTAACGAGGCTGGAACGAGAGCAATACGAATAAATGACACTAGAGAAAAATGTATTTTAAGTGAAAATTAGAAAAAAAAATGTGAAAAAAATACTTTGGAATATGATAGAATTATTAAACCACACTTTGCCCTTATTAGACCTTCCCCCAAAAGATAGAGGTCTAATTTATCAACAAAATGAAATGAATATAAAATAGAAATACACGGAAATGTCGCTAATGGCATATTTATCAATTATGGTTGTATTATTTTAGAGGCATATGAATTGAAAAACTTTTTAGAAAATTTCATGGCCGTAGAAGAAGCGTTTTATAAAAAAATGTGGATCTTAAAAGGTAATTTATTTCCTAGTGTAAAAATTCGAATGGGATTAACGACACACTGAGTAATAAATGCATTAAATTATTATTGATATAATTTGACTAAAAAATCTATGGAATGCTGTTTTAGGAGAAGAACACGTTCCAGTAAAGTTGATTAAAAAACACAAAGGTATGTAAAAAAAAAATTCTTGTTTTTAAAATATGTATTGGCAATTTTCTATTACCCAATTTACACCGATAATTATTGCAAGGATTATTTTTGTTTCTAGACATTTTAAACTGGATAAAAGAGGCAGGTTTAGAAAGAGGTATGGACTTATAAAACTCTCTTTTATTTTTACCTTGTACATTTTGATTTATCATTTATACTTTTCCATTGCATTACAGATATTGCGGATCAAGAACTTCCAACGGGTAATGGTTGATTGACATATAATCAATTTGAAACAATTTGTTTTTATGTTTTGTGTGTGATTATTTATAGATAATAGAAAAAGTTTTAAAGAACTCAGGTTCAATATGAATCCCAAATTCATAAATGTAACTATGGATAGAATAGTAAAGAATAAAGCTATAGGTAGCCACGTTAGTATACGTGTAAGGCATATGAAAAAGTTTCATATTTTGAATACTTGGTTAAAGACAAGTCCATACTTCCACGGATCGATGATGAAGTCAGCGATCAATAACGGTATAATTGTTTTACTGTTACTCTTAACAACCTTTTTTTTGTAGATGTTAAAATATACTAAGTACTTATCCTTACTACCCTGTTATTAAAGTTGTTCACGTATTTGTCTACTAGCACAAATTGTTCTGAAAAATTGCATGCGATGCTTTGCTTTATATAATACATATAAATTAGAGGTTTTACCTGTTTAAAATAAAAAATTGATATTTTTAGATATTTTACAAGTCGTCCGAGATGATAAATTAAACATTTCGTCGTTAAAACTCATTATGGCCGATAACGTTTTACAGAAAGTATTTACCAATATCGATTACATTTAAATAGTTGGCGTCGGTGCAATTATTAGAAAGAAAAGTCAAATTGGGATGATAATTATAATAGTATAATGATTGTATACATATAAATATTATATATCTAAAATAAAATGATAATACAATTGTTTACTATGTCTATGCGTTATTATTGTTTGGTTATGCTTACTTGTGCACATTAGTGTAAGCATTAAGCATTAAAAATTTAAAATACTCTATAAAATGGTGAAGTCCCACTATAGAAGATTTAACATTTTTTTCTTTGTTTCGTTTTTTTCAAAGTAGTGATAAGACTAACTCACTTAAGGATTGGTATAAATTATGTAGCATAACATAGTACATAATATATTTTGAAACAAATAGGTTTTATAAATAGTGTTTTTTATTTGTTAATAGTGACGAATGTAATTATATTACACAAAACAGAGTCCTACTTTCCTTAGTTTTTACTTTTTAGTTAGTTAATCATATGTTTTTAATGTTTCTTTATTATCATAAAAATAGCTTGGTACTTTTGAAGTAAAATTAAAGAACATATCATAATTTTAACTGTTAACAACATAACAGATCATTTTTAAGGAATCACAATATTAAATATGTTTTAGGTAGTAGTGTATATTAGTATAGAAATTGCTTTTTAAATTATTGTTTTCACTCAATTGACTTATCACCGCCGCTTTTTTAATATTAGCCAAACTTGTTTTTACTGGTTTTCCAAAAAAAAAAAAAAAAAATGAATTCAATGCACGTTCATTAAGTTTAATGTAGGTATATACAGCGTCCATGTCTTGAGTAACTGTCAAACAAAATAGTTTAATACATTTTAATGTCTCAGGATATGATGCAGATTACATTCTTCGACGTTATAACTTCAACTAGAGTCTAGCTTATAATCAAACAAACCGTTTTGATTAAAATGTTTACTCTTTCTTTTATAATATTAAAGTACACTATTTATTTTTATAATTTTTTAGTTTGTAATAAGTACACTTAATATTAAATTATAATAATAAAATATAATATTGTCGTACGAATATCGAAAATAAATAATATTAAAATGTACAAAATGTAATATAAATGAAATAAGACTAAAAAAACACATTTATTAAAACAGCATTCTTTGTCTGATAGGTTCAAGTACTTATAGTTATCTTATAGTTATAATAATATTAAATCATATTAACCGCCGACATTATGTCAGGAAGCGTTGGCGGTTTTTTGAACACTGGCAACTTCAACGATAGTAATAATTATGTTTTATGTACTACATGTTTAAACATAAATATAATCATTACGGTATAGATGGCTCTAAATGCGCGTACAGCATACAGTAAGTACTGATATCATTTAGCGACAAATAAAGTATAATAATGATTACTTAAACTGTAATTTATAATTAATATTATATGATGTACCCGAAAAATGGGCGTGCGTTGAAATCAGAAGGGCGCCAACAGTGAGTTGATGCGTCGAATGTGTTGTCGTGCCTGTTGATGACGGTTTATGATCTTGAATAGTTTAGGGTGAACCAGTTTAGGGTGTGCGTCTCCTCCTTTGTATTTATTTCCTTCATCTAACCACCAGAACAGCCAACGCTCTCCACAAGACTCGACGCGATCCAAACTCATAATAATATGTAAAATGGCTTCTGGAAGTTTTTGCTATGATATGTTTGCTATTGTTTTTTTTTTTTTTAATGTTATCATGCGGAATTGAGCTTGGCATTTTTTTACAATGGCACAAGACCGTTTCTGGTTGTCGGATTTCTAGTCATATATATGTCCATGTCGTGATCGGTCCAGTTGTCTGACGTGTCACCACAATAGTTGGCGTTGAGCGCGTGGTGCGAACCAGTATGGCTGTAACGGCTTGATGGTCTGTTTTGCGTGCCTCCTCCTCCTCCTGCTCCGTCCCGGTTACGGGAAGCTCTCCTGGGTTTGGTCCGGGACGTATTGGTGCGACCACTACCAGGGTAACTGATATGGGACATCCTCTCGGAAACGGCCAACGACTGCCGGGACTGTCTCAGCTCTGGTTAGAAAAATAAACATCATATTTAGTACACTGAATTGATTCTGTTGTTTGATAAAAGAGATTATCAATTTTTGCGATTTTAGGTGTTCGGAATATCGTGTTTAAGATTAAAAATATATCTATTTTCATCCTTGTAAAATAGAAAACGATACAAAAATACTCTTAAAGCCACACAATTAGGAATTGATTTGAAATTGCACTGATTTTGATATAGCGGTATCTAGAAAGGCTGTGTGTTGGGTTTGAGTCAATGTTAACACCAATTATAAAAATCTATTACTATAACATAGTACTTTAACTGGGCGAATAATTGCATTATTGCACTGGGGCCCAGTCCCCCATAGGGGGAAAACTTCATCGGGGTGGGAAATTCTTAATTGTTCTCAAACAGAGCCCAGACGTAACTGCTTAAATGCTACATAACAACTAATCCACACACTTCTTAAGCTTACTAGATAAGTTTCTATTTGAATAACAAAAATTTACACTAACCCGGTCTGGAGTTAACTAGTTCAGACGCGTAAGCGTTACTGCCGCCCAAATATCGCATGGAGTTGTTGGAAAAACTATTTTGTGACTGGCCGTCGGCGACCGAACGCATCTTTGGCGCTTTTGAGCTGAAATTCGATATGTTGGAGTGTAGATCTTCATTGCATCCTATAGGATACAAGTAAACGGTTAATGTCAACATAAAATGAGCTTGATCAAAATGTATCCTAATGCGATCTCGTGAACAAGAGTGGTATCTACTACGTCAAAACATTTAATTTTTGTTAAGGAAGGATAAGCTAACAGAATTGAAAGCTACCCTTGATTCGGAAAAGGATGATCTGTTATAACTGGTGTGTAAATTACGAGTGGCAACTAGTAGCTTTCAACTTTTATGACACAATATTTTATGTTACTATGTTGTCTACAAAATTCCAGCGTGGACCATCAATGCTTACCCTGCCTGGTGTCAGCAACTCTGTACATCCGAGGATGATTCAAGCTACGGTTGCTGTAAACTGAACCTTGATCCCAGTCCTTGTGGCCGGTGAACGCGTTCAGAGCGGCCAGCGACGACATTGGCGGTGGTCCATTGGCCGCATAACAATTCGGCGGCAACGTTCCCACGGGAATACCTCCACCGGGTGGCTTGTTTGGATGACACGAAGCCATAGAGTTGTGCAGAGTTTGAAGCTTCTTTGCCCGGCGTTTGCTAGCAGCTATGAACACTACCACGGCGATTAAGACTGTACCACAAATTGCCGCGCTCGCCGCTATCGTTATACGGTCCATGTTACTGGTTAAAGTCACCGCTGTCCGGACTTCGCGACATTGGCTATAAGGCACCGTGTCCGGCGTGATGTTGATCTCCTCGAGTGAGATAACGCACACCACAATGCACTCCTGTGAAGAAATAAGGATGTGTAATTGTCGATGGAAGTAAAATTATTTTTGGACATTTTGTCAATTACCTGATAAGGAACGTTTTTGATTTTAAATTCTCGTTCGCTCGTTTCGAGTGGTGGTCCTTGCTTGAAAGTACGATCGCCGAACAGACGGTACACCACACGGAAACCCAAAATATTGGCAGTTTCAGAATCCCATTGGATTATGACTGTGTTCTCTTGGCGGTGCACGCTCCGGATGATAACTTCTTGAGCAGATTTCTTGGAGTAATTGCCGAGTATCAGTGGCGGTTTCTGTGAAGTCTGCATCGGTTGTGGCCTCGTTATAACCAGATTGGACTTTCGACTACCGTTGGTCGGTTTCGACTATAAACAAAACAAACAATCTCATTTGAGTGAAGGTCGAATAATAATATGCTAAAATAAAAAATATTATTATTACAGTAGTCGAGCTTTGTACGGAGGACTTGGTAACCGCGTCAACAACACCAGTAGTAGCCGAAGAGGTGGGAATACTCTCAGTCGTAGAAGAAGATACTTTAGCCGGCAAAGGATCTATATTGGACGATGGGAAGTCCGAAGAGTTAGAGTTCTTTGCTAAGTCCAGTTCTTGGTAGTCCTTTTTCGGTTTGTTCTTGGTACCTGCGATACCGGCAGTAACACTGGTCGGGCTCACGTATCCTACGCCCACGCCTAGCGTTGGCCGTTGAGGGTCCACGTTCTCTTCTTCCAAACTGGTTTCCACGACAGACGGTATACCCGACGACGAGCTCTCTTCATTATCGCAAACCATTTCTGCAAAAAAAAATAAAACGTTTAGTTCATTTATTGTAATTCAAATAAGAACGAGCATTATTTCAGTATTCGTACCCTAGATATATTGTTCAACAATTAACAATTCCCACCCATCTTGTATTGACAAGAAAAGACTCATGTCTTTACTTACCGGACTGATCGATTTTGTAGAAATGCTTATTCTTGAGGTAAGACGGACTGGCGCAAAATTGCGGATTCCTTTCTCGGCTGGTCACTTGCAAGTCACCGTGTTTAATCCATTCGAGAACCCAGCGGATTCGACAGTCACACTGCAAGTATCGTCCCCCGAGACTGAGACCTCGCAACGTGGAGTTGAGATGTGTGAACGCATTTTTGGGAATGGTTTCTAACGGGTTACCATCCAAAGCCAACAAGGTCAGAGAGGGATTGGCTATGAACGCATTTTCCGGAATGTCTGTGATCAAGTTGAAACCGATGTCCAACACCCTGAGTTCGGGTAGTTTACTGATGGCAACCGTAGGGTATTCGGTTAGCAAATTGTTAAGAAGGCTCAAGGAGCTCAGTGAATTTTTCACACCGTCGAATGTGGATTCGCCCAGGGACTGAATGACATTTCTCTCCAAGTTGAGTGCCGTCAACGCTCCCAGTCCTTGAAAGATATACTGCCCGGACGGTCCCGGCAGTTCGCTCAAAATATTTTGTGCCAAATCCAAAAACGCTAAATTTCGCAAACTCCGTATGCTCTCGGGTAACGTCCTTTGATTGGTGCCCTTAAGGTTTAAATTTTTCAGGCTATTCTCGAGCCCGCGAAACGAGTGTTTAGATAACGTCAGGTTGTTGTCGGCCAACTTGACGGTTTGTAGATTTTTGAGCGTGACGAAAGCGTCGTCGGGTACTTTCGATATCCGATTTCGGGATAAATCCAACAACGTCAGGTTTTTAAGTGACTCCAGGCTGGTCACCGGTACCTCGTCGAGCTCGTTGTCTTGCAGGTTCAAATGCCGCAAATGAGGTTCCAATCCCTTGAACGCCGTTTTGGACAAACTTCGTATCCGGCACCCGGACAATTGCAAGTTATGTATTTTTAATTTAGCAAAACTGGAATCTTCCACGGTCCTTATCGTACTGTTGTTTATGTACAACAAGTCAAACGTGTCTTGCGGATATTTTTCGAGAACTTGCAGCAGATTATCGTAGTCGACTAAGTCGCATTGGACCGATAGCTCTTGGGCCGCGTTCATCGAACATAAGCAGGACGACTGAAGATCTGCGGCCGCCGGGTCAGCTTGCCACGGACACTGAGCTTCCGAAGCGGGTAGTTGGAACAGGCATATCAAAAGATATAGTAGCCTCGTATAATTTCTGCAACACAAAATATAACAAGATTTTAAATAAATATAAATAAAATATATACACCTAATTACATTGTTGAAACCAAAATGTATTTGTTTTTATTTCAGAAATCCCATTTATCTGTATCGAAATCTACACAAACTCTAGATTAATGTGTTTCTAGTGAGTTTTCATAAAAAAGTAGGTAAATAGGTCGCGGTTATATTGTATAATATTTTACTACAACACGAAAATTAATACAATATAAGCGTAATTGGATTTTGACGCCTGGGATAATAGCAATAGTCCAATGTCCTAATGACAAACAATACTGAGCTAGATTAGCCACGTTTAATGAACAACAAAAATCTTAAAACCCCATAGATGTAGCAAACACGTGGGACATTTCTTTACCCAAGTGGCCAGAGAAACTAATGTCATTAGCAAGGAAGTCAATAATAAAAATGCTATTGCATATTCAGAGTACTGTAGGTAAACAGCTGTATATTACATAATATTAATCTGATAAAATAATTTTGTTGATCATTTAAAATAGTATTTTAAAAGTTATTGTTATGATTATAGTCTATAGATATCCCAACAAAACTTCGTTAACTCAGTGTAAATGGTAGCTAAGGAAAAAAGTGTTTCAACAAAGGCCTTCAAGTACGTGATATAATATAGGAACTAAGTAAATACCATAATGTAATATATTTATTATGCATCGATGTCAACAAATAAAATCATTCGACATATCAAACCAGTCATGAAAAAAATCATTCCGAAATTCATGGTAAAATTTCCACGCGTTTAATGGGATTGCGGTGCTTCGTATATAGTATACACGGCGGTGCGTGCTCGCTATTTTTATGAACTCACAATCTTGTTTTTACTTAACTCCGCGCCACTACCGTGTCGCTGGATAATAAGAATCGATGACTTAGGTTTGCTATTTTTTGCGTTATTATAATCATACCTATGAAATTGTATTATATCTAATAGGTATATATTACTTTATAGTTAGAATTTATTTTTATCCTTTTTAACTTTTGTTAAACTTAATTGGCTTTAATAACCAAAATTCATTGTGTATGAATACCCGCTGTAAAAGAGTACTCTTCTAGCATATTTTTACATCTGCAGTTAAAATGCAGTCGGTATATGAGCTTAATATATGTATATAGACACTAAGTGTTATTGTGCCAAGGACAGAGAAACTCTTATAAAAAAAGACTTCCTGACATCTTGGTAAGTGTATTGTAAGTGTACTTGTAAGTTATACCATTGAGTATATATTGTATACTCAATGGTTATACCTTGTAGTATCGTGCATAAACTGAAAAGTGTAAACAATTAAAATTGTTTTATTTTCTACCGTTCCAAATATGTATAATATAATATCCATCCATTGGAGTTAAATTAGAAAATCGGATCGTTAGTGAAACAAAAAAATGCGTACGCCGAGTTGCTGTCAAAAACTTTAAAAAGAAATGCGATTTAATATTTACCAGAGCGAGAGGACGAATTTAGACCGTTACCTTTTAACATTGGCCTTAATCTGATAGAAATCAGTATCATTTTTCATCCTAGTCGTGTCTCCGCGACAATTTATCATAACATCATATCTGTCAGTGTTAACCAGAGTTTTCACTGAGCTCAAAGCGAAACAATATAATTGTTAGTAGCTATTATATTGTATGTATGTGAATATCTACAGTATACTGTATACATATATATATTGTGCTAAAAACTGATAGATGATGATAATACATTATATTATTTTATCCAACTATAATCCGATTCGCGTCTGTTTTTTGAACTAAATAAGTACAATGAATTCGTGTGTATAGTCGAAAACGAAGACCACTAATAAGACAAAAATAACTGTGTTTTAATTTTCTGTTTATAGTAGTTATATAATTTGGTTTTCGTTGTATAATAAACGTATATAACAAAAATCACTTTCTGCCCCAAACGCGTGATTTACAGCTGCAGTCGGATGGTGTAAATGTGTAATGCTAAGAAAATTCAAAAAAAATTATACACAACTGCTTTAATGTTGTTGTTATTATTATATAAGAATCAAATTATTATTTTAATAATAATAAAACTACCGTAGATTATTTTAGTAACATACAAATACCATAGCACAAAAAATCTTGAAATCCTAAGTAACTACTTTATTTATACATCTGAATACTATTATACGTATTGTAATATAGTGTAGACGAGGTAGCTCGCAAGTAAACTATTCAAAATTCTAAAAGCGTTCCTATTTTATTTGGGTTTGATGAAATCTACACTTTTTACAAATAAAAGATTCTGGGTGCAAGAGAAAGTGTAATTAATGTCAAATATAGTACAGTGGTGTAGACATAAACGTCGGTTCCAATTTTTCCATTTATTATGAAAATACAATACATTGATAATATTATTATTTTATATTTTAAATTCATTAAGGAATCCACTTGATAAAAAAAAAATAATCAATTACAAATAAACTCAACCTAATTTGGGACTATCTCTAGTTATCTAGAGCATTCTGAATGATTTTTGTAATCATTATTACAATATTGGGGCAGTAAAAATATATGCAATTTAATAATTATTCTAAACCTTGGTTATCATCACTAGAATAACGAATATTAAACTATTAGCCTTCAAACTTTGAGTCCACACACAATACATGAAACTATCGATCTAGCATATTATTATTATCGTACTGGAAATATTATATTTGCTTTTCACTATAAATTGCACTTGTTTTGGCACACACGTCACAACATAATAGTTATAGCTTTTGTCTGTCCCCAATCAACCACATATTATTTCCCCCCCCCTTCAATTCTTCCGTCGCCTGATAAATTATTCTAAATACTTAAATTCCTTCACTCTATTTACCACGATTTTTTCACCTCCATCTAAACTTATCCTTTAAATATTCTGTTTTAGACAAACGTTTATTTTCAACGATTATCTTTTTCCCTGCTTATATACGTTAATACTACATAATACTATTTTCAAAATAAAAAAAAAGACAGCAGAGTGCCTCATTCAATGTTTTTAACTACTGAAAACCATTACAAAATTGCAAATCTATTGTAAATATACTTCTAAAAACAAAAATCGTATTACTTATTGGGTATGTGTAAATGTATACATAAATAATCTAGTTGATCTAGTTGCAATTGCATTTTATGAATTGACAATGGCAATGGCATTTGCGCATACATTCATTTTTCACGTGCTCGCAAGTGCCGACGTCGCAGTCCGACATAGACTTAAACCCGTGGCGGAAGAAGGCTTCGTACAGACAGCGCGCCCAACTAAGAAAGAGCACTAATAATGCCATCACGGACAGCACCGTCACGACCATTGGCCAAATGCTTTGGTCGCAGCTATACGCCGTTTCATCAGAAGGGTATCCGTAGAACATACGTGGGTTCGCCGACCGCTTTGACCTATCCTATCGAGGCGGGCAAGGTAAAATTAATTATTCGGTATTAGGAGATGTCGGCAAATGGTCGGTTACATTCATGCTGATCGACAGTCAAGTAAATTATTACTTGATCGTCGGCGTTTAGATTTAGCGGCCGATTCTTAGACAAACCGGTCGAATCATCTGCCGGTCGTTGACGATCGAACAGTCCATCCACCGAAATCTCACCAGTCGGCGACGTAACGGCCGTCATGGAGAAAATCCACCACAGACAGACAATCAAAAGACAGTAGGCCATTTTTGTGTGGGCACATCGAGTAAAGAAATTACTGTAATAATGGCAATTAGCCCATATTACCATATCAGCACATAAACGTACCGTGTGTTGCCCGGCAGCGGCAATATGTTGTAATCCGACCGTTAACAAAAATGTTTCAACCGCATTCCAAGTCATCATTAAGGTGTATGATATATTTTTTAACTTAGAACCGGAGCTGAGGAAGAATTGGTTTTACAATTGAGTATTTTTAAAAATTTGTTTTAACGTTTTAACCACCGAGATTTGTTCGTACAGCCAGTTTATAGACCACAAACCGTAAACAAAAAGTACGATTAAAGTGGAAATTTGAAGAAACCCACTCATTCCTTTTTAAAATCGAGAAAACCCAATTAACATGTTACATTTCAAAGATTCATATATTAGATAGATCCTTACCGATGTACATTAAAAAAATATCTACTCGAATTCAGAAGGAGTTGAAACTTATTCTTTACTTATACTTGATTAATGGTTAGCGCGACACTGTTTGTAACCTAACTTAACTTAATAAAACATTGCAAACTGTTTACTTATATGTATAGTGTGCAGGTGTTTATAATAAATTACTTTTTAACACCAACTTTTTTATTTAACTTTAAAACGTATCAACATAACACGCTTAAAAGTGTGTTTATTAGAAGCCTCACTATTGTTGATAATTTATATAAAAGAAAAATGCTTTCGCAGTATCAATTATTCTATTTGGCCCAACTGTAAAACTTAACTACTTAAGAAAACATGTAAACTGATTCTTATGATTGATTTAGTTTTGGAGCTTTCTACTATTATAAACGACACTACTTGTAAACGAGCTCATCTCTCTTTATTCGGTTGGAAGCCGACTTTTTTGTTTATAGATTTGTATTGTTTACTTTACGTGTAATTAAATACGACTTAATACGCATATTTTCTCTACCGACCTTAATTAACCAAAGCTATTATATACGGCATGCAAATTTGATATCTAACACAAGCGGTCACGCTCTTCAGATCTGTCACGCTTTTTGAAGAAACTCATAAGGTGCCATAGAAACGATCGCCGAGTCACCAAGATAAAGCCGCCAAACACCTTCTAAGCTCTGCTGCTTTCCATCTGTAGTCTATTATCTATTATTATATTCCTCTTATCCGAGGGTGTACATCAACTACAATAGTATGTACCTAAGGGCTATAGTTTAATATTATTACGCTCATTTATATATAGGTAGAAAAACAATATCAAATTCCAAATTTTAAACACTGAGCCCGAGGGTCAACCACGATTTAAGATAA